GAAGGAAACCCGGCATACGGGGCTGCTCCCCACGGGGGAAAGGACAAGGAGCGGCACACGAGCTACAGCGAGAGAAAAAACACCACCCTCAACCCCCTAAAATGATAAAAATAAAAGATCAGAATGTTCGTCCTGGTCTCTGAGAGATGCGAATCAATAAATTGCCGCTGCAAGAGGCATAAAACGTCGGGAATCGATCCGTGAAATGCCAGATTTATCTAAAAATGGACGCATCGTTTTGCAGAGCTCCCGGCCCGGCTTTCCCAGCCGGGTGCGCGGAGCGGCACCACCTCAGCGGGAAGCCCTGGGGCCTCGCTTCTCCTACCCGCTAATTAGGAGCCGTTTATTAAGCTAATTAATCGCTGTTTCATTGTCCTTGAGCTGCCTTGGTCCTCCGCACAGGCCAGCACGGGCTCGGAGGCTGCGGGTGCCGAAGGTGAGATTCCGCCTCCTAAAATTGCGAATATCCGAGGATTCCTCCCAGAGAAAAGCTGCCAGGACCGGCGGCTGTGGCTGGCCTTGGGCTCCCTTAGACTGGCCCCGACACGGGGGGGACACGGTGGGGACACGGGAGGGACACGGCGGGGAGCACAGGGGACATGGGCTGGGACACTCTGGACCATCAGTCTCAAATTTCCCCTCTCCGGCTGAAGCTCGGATCATCCCGGCACCAAAACACCCCTTAAAACGCCACATTTCTCCCTCCCTCTTCCCAAAAGTGCGATTCCCCAAGTTATTTTTAGGTTTTATTCGGATTTTTTTTAGGTCGATTTCCCCCCTACATCGCCCGCCTCGGGGAGACTTTCACCGGCTGCGGCTCTGCCCATCCCCGCTGGAACTGGGATATTTTCCTGCATTAAACTGGTTTCGGGGTGCAGCGGAGGCTCAGATTCCAGCAGATTCTTTCTGGCAGATCCACTGCAGCCTCGTGTGGCAGGTCTGAGGGTAGATCCCATTCCCCTTCAGCGTTCCACAGGCTCCAGGTCGCTTGTCGAGGCCCAGCTGGAACCTGCGGGTGGCAGGAAGGAGCCCGTGTCACCCCCGGGGGTTCCCTTGGGGACAGTGGGGTGCCCTCCCAGCGCTCCCCCCGGCGCACACCGGTCCTGGTCGAGGGAGGAGCCGTTCTCCCACGCCCAGCCCGTCCCGGCCACAGGCACAGAGAGGCCGATCCAGAAGTGCCGGGTGGGTTTCTTCAGGCTTTCATTTAGGAATTCCTGGACCGGGAAAGGAGAAGTGATGACGCTGGTTTGGTCACCCCAAAACAGGCTCTGTCCTCATGCAGGAACTGAGCCCCACCCGTGTCCCCCGAACCCTGCCACAGGCACCCGGGAGACTTGGACACAGCGGGAAGGGCTGGACCCAGGATTTTGGGAATCCCTTCCCCCTTCCACGGGTGCTTCCAGCCCCTCCGGCACCACCAGCACCCCGAGTACAGCCCCAGATCCATCCCACATCCCCAGCGCCATCATTTCCTTCACCAGCTCGTCCTGATCCCACGGAACCAGCAGCGCGGACCCCCGATTCCCGCAGTCCTCCCGGCTCTTGTTCCATGGGTTCATCCCGTCGGAAATCCAGTAGCACTTGGTCCCGATCAGCATCCAGCCCACGGCGCAGAGCCGGCATCCCTCGCTCTCTGCGGGCACACGGACGGATCCCGGCGCTCTGAGGCACCGCCGCGGGACCGGAGGGAATCTCCGGTCTCCCTTTATTGGGGGGAGGCTTTAGGGAGCCCCCCGGGGGCTGCGTTACCTCGGGGCGGGCACAGGATCCTCCGCAGCTCCCTGAGGATGCCATCCCAACCCAGACGGGCAGCTCCCAGCGAGGCGTTCCCGTAACCTGCGGTCCCCTCGGGCTGCCACCGCTGTGGCACCCACCAGGAGACTGGGAGAGGGGGATGCCGAGCCCGGTCAGGGAAATCGGGGCTGGGAAGGGGTGCCCGGAACCCACTGCCACCCCGCAAACTCACGGCAGAACACGAGGGCCAGCGCCAGGGCGGCCGTCAGGGCCCCGAGGAGGCGGCGGGGACAGCGGGGGGATGCTGCGGGGACCCTCTGGGATCCTTGAAAGGCAGATCCTGCTGCTGGGGAAGGGGTATGGAAAGAAAGAGCGGGCTCAGGAGCAGCCGTCGCCTCCCCGACCCCCCAGATCCCAAGGCAGGAAGTCCCGAGGTGAAGCCACTCGGTGAGACCACCCTGCACAGGAGCACGAGGAGTTGGGTGACCCCAAAAACCCCTTCTGCTCCATCTTTTGGGGTCACGGCTCGGGGGAGATGGGACAGCAGACAACCACAGCGTCAAGAAAAGCCTTCCCCCCC